AGACAGACAGACAGACAGACAGACAGACAGACAGACAGACAGACAGACAGACAGAGACAGAGACTACACGCAAAGAGAGAAAGAGAAAGGCAGAGAGAGAAATAGAGAGAGACATAAACATAAAAAGAGAGAGAAGGAGAGAGAAACATATTCAAAAGAGAGAGAGAGAGAAAGACAGACAGACAGACAAACACACAGACAGATAGACAGAGTGAGACACACAAAGAAAGAGAGAGAGACAAACAGACAGAGGGAGAGAAAGAGAGAGAAATATATTCATACACATGCACAAAGAAAAAAAAAGAGAAAGAGAGAGAGAGAGAGAGAGAGAGAGAGAGAGAGAGAGAGACAGAGAGAGAAAAAGAGAGACGAACACAGAAAGAGGCACACACACACACACACATGAACAAAGAAAAAGAGAGAGACAGAAAGACACACAGAGAAACAGACAAAAACACACACACACACACACACACACACACACACACACACACACACACAGAGATACACATACATAATACATCTCTTCCCCCAATCCTCCCTCCCCCTCACCTTATTATACTGTAAAACTCTCTTCAACAGTTCCTGAGCCATGTCATACTTGCCAGATTGCACATAGATATCCGCCAACAGGAGCCAGCTTTTCTCCAAGTCTTCACCATCCTGGCCACAAACAAAGATATAATACAAATAACTGTAAAACATGTCAAAAAATTGACGAGCTCACCTGATTCCACCTCTTTGTGACACATTTGACCATTAAATCCATTAGGATATCTGTTGCATTCCGCACACAAACAAAAGATCTGGCAACACAATATCACATGACAGAGAGCCTTCAAATTGGCTGTCAGCCATGATTTTGATCAAATGCACTCCCTCCCCCTCTCCTCCTCAAATTGTGACCTGGAAAAAACAAAGCTGTTTGATTTTGGAGAATTTAATCAAATAGTGTCAAAATGAAAGCTTCCACTCAGTTTCCATTTTTTAAAATATAGGCCAGCTTCAAATTGTCTCCCTCATTCAACATTGCAGTTCATCGAAATTTCTATCAGATGAAAGTCAAGTATGCTGTAGAGTTTCACGAGGTTCATCGATTGGTCCTTGTCTCACTCCTCTTTTAAAAACTGTAACATATTTAACAAATAGAATATTTTGTAGTAATATAGTGTCTTAACTCTTTATCTGCGAGGTGGGGTAAAATGACAGATACATCACTAAATTGGTCATTAAATCAAAACAAGTGAGCCTATTTAACTAGTTCTTTATCTAATGAAAGAACTCCTGTTAACTCATTCGCTACGTATTATTTTTGGTTTGTGGACAAATTTTTTTCGGGAAGGTGAAATGAGATGATGACTAGTACGCAGTTAAAAGGTCTTTGGGGTCACAAATTCAAATAAATATTAACATATTATGCACCAACATTTTCAGTATCATCGGTAATGTTTATTAGTGTATTTTTCAACTTTGGTTCCTGTAAGAGCCAATTATGCAAGTTCGTTCCAGGCAGGATCACATCCAACTGTGAACTCTTCCCTGACCATTGAAGGCAGTTTTTCTCTATTCCCATATTTATGAGACAGCCTGAATTTTAATTAGTGTGGTCACAACGTAAAGGTGCGTAACGACAAAGGCAGGGGGATTCAACCAGAGATGGAAGGCTAAAATTTTTGGACAGGTAAAGGGGAGGGGCAACTGGATAAACATAGATAAAGATCTCGAGACTCACGACAGGCTAATGAGTATATATGGCATGCCTCATGCCACCATGCCACTGTGATTGGTCATGAAGGATGACCACTCTTTGCTCGCCATACGTCATAGACCCACCAAGGGGTCACGTCAGTTCATGAGTCACTGTAGATTCTTCCTTGGCTTCGTCGGCTAAGATCCCGAATTTCCCTTGCTCCCGAGCACTGGGATCTTAGGCGGAGACTACTGTAGTAGAGAATCTTTGGTTACACTACACTTACTTGACTTTAGGAAACTACAATGTACCTGTATTTTGGTTTGCTGTGGGCACCGTCGACTACAGTGTGACCAAAATCTGTCTTACCACTATTATCCAATTGAAACTGATGCAGTGGGCGCCGTCGACTACAGTGTGACCAAAATCTGTCTTACCACTATTATCCAATTGAAACTGAAACTGAGTTCTCAATGTATATTATGTAACAATTTTATAGGCTACCTAAATTTCTTTTTAACTTTTTTTTTGTGGTTTGTGCTTAAGGCTACCTTGATTCCTTGAGGATTTGTTAATGAAGAATTCAATGCATTTTTCCATTTCTTCGCTGGCCATTTTCATCAATTTGTTTTTTTTAAGAGCAACCTTGTCTAGACTCTACATTTTCCAATTTGGATACTTTTCCTACTTTCCGACTTCTTGGACTGACTTACATTTGATCATATTGTCTTGCTCAAACAAGTTCTTTTCATCATATCACTTACGCACTGGTTGCGTCTGTTTGTTTGGGGGGTTTTTTTTTCAATTTCACGGACCATTTCCACCTACGTTCAGTGCGTATATTCAAATGCTTTGTATACTGTTTACATTTTTAGTAATAAATGGCCTAATTTGTCAAAAATACTGGATGTTTTGCATTAGCACTTAAGTGTTTTAGCATATTAGCAGAAAGTACTCAAAATGTACTCATAAGTATTTTTTTTAAAAAGTACTTGTACTCAAGTACATTTTACAGGAAAGTACTTTTACTGTACTTAAGTACATATTTTAGATTGTACTTAAATTTGTACTTAAGTACCTTTTTAAAAGTACTTTAGCAGCTCTGGGTGTCTGAGCTATAATTTGAGTATCACGATAAAACAAAGTCGCATAACCTTCAAAATCGGGTTCCAAAACTGAATCAAAACTTCAGATTTTCAGTGGAAACGCTTGACCCGGAAGTCAACATTACATTATGACGTTAATTTTAACATGGATATGTAGATTGGAATAGAATCTAAGCTACAATTGAAGATCGGTTCTCGAGCCGCCGGGGGCGGCTTAGCGTACTGACGGCACTTAAGCCGTGCTGCCCCCCTCGGCTCGGCGTAGCGAATGAGTAAAGAGAGACGTGTTTTCGGCAGATACCGAAAACTAATTTGACCTCGAAGTCATCGTAAAGGAATGTGCCCTAGCCGCTGCCTCTCCTGAAAACCTTGCTTTTTGACATATTACAATACTCAATGACAGCGATAAAATGTATCAAACCATATTAATTCAGGATTTCACTAAACTTCGTGCAGCATGCATTACCTGGATGGTCCACGGACTTTTGGCCACTCTCTTCAGTGTGTTCCTGGCACGGGGTGTCTGTTTCAGCACCATGTAAGCTGCCGCTATGCCATATAAGGCGCCCACATGTTCACGCTAAAGAGGGAAGACAAAGAAAAAAGAATAAAAAGCATGTTCACGCAAACGGAGGAAAAAATTTTTTTGGATACGAACACACGTTCATGCAAATAAAGGGAGACAAATAATCCTAAACAATTAGCAATCTAGTACTGAATTTTGAGGAATAGGATGAAATGGAATTGTATGGCGTGGTGTGGTATGGTATGGTGTGGCAAGGTGTAGCGTGGTGTGGCGTGGCATGGCGTGGTGAGGTGTGGTGTGGTGTGGTGTGGCGTGGCGTGGTGATTTAGCGTATTATTAGAATACAGATTATGTATGTAGCTTAATCATTATGAGTGTAGATAATATTTGTTCATTCACATCATATGCACGTGACTGTGGGTCTGTTTGCGAGTGTAAGCCTATATCATTATACGCATGTGTAGATATGTGTGTGGAAGGGAGGATGTGTAAGAGAGTTTAAGCATCTCTCCTTCTTCCCCCCTTTCCCCCATCACTCATCATCTCCTGTCTCTCCACTTAACCTTTCCTTCTCTTCCCCACTCCCACCTTCCTTCCTCCCCCCAAATCACCCTCCTTAACACAACCCACTTTCCCCTCAATCCACCCTCCTTCACACTCCCTCCCTCTCCCCCTCAATCCACCCTCCTTCTCACCCCCTCCCTCTCCCCCTCAACCCACCCTCCTTCTCACCCCCTCCCTCTCTCCCTCAACCCATCCTCCTTCACACCCCCTCCCTCTCCCCCTCAACCCACCCTCCTTCTCACCCCCACCCTCTCCCCCTCAACCCACCCTCCTTCTCACCTCGTTAGAACAGATCTCCATAAAGTTGTTGAGAGCCCGCTCTATGTTCTGCTTCTGTTTGCTGGCGATGAGAGCCATGTTCTCCAACACTGTGTGCCGCACGTCACCGGGCTTTGGTTTAGCTTCCTGGGGTGAGATTTAAGACATATAATTGTATATATATATATGTATACAGAGAGAGACACAGAGATAAATATTTATTTTATATATGTAAATATATATCTATATCGATCTATCGATCTATCGATCTATCGATCTATCTATCTATCGATCTATCGATCTATCTATCTATCTATCTATCTATCTATCTATCTATCTATCTATCTATCTATCTTGTTTTAGTAAGAGATTAACTGCACTTGCAAGACAATACTGTCACATAAGTGCCGAAGATTAGAGGTATTACAAGAGAGTAACATAAACAAAAAAGAATGAAGGGAGATAAGGATGATAGATGATTGATAAGAAAGAAGGAGCAAACCACATTAGAGCACCTGCTAACCACCCATATGTATAAAGAGAGAGAGACCAAAGAGCAGCAGCCAACAAGAAAGTGGCGGGGGGTGAGTTGAAAACTATCTCAAAAAGTAAAAAATACATGATATGACTTTATGGATTCATATGATCAAACTGCAAATCCCCTAGCTGCTCAGTGTAAGGCACCCTCACACATTTATTTTCAAAATGGTGAACGGCAAAGTCTTACACTGAACTGTCGAAATGCATGACACCGTATAAAAGTGTGAGCGGAATTTCCTACTCACCCGAATCAATTTCTCGGCGGTTCGTACAGCCATCAGCTCACTGTCCTGCTTCTCCTTGTCCGAGCTCATTCTTGAGGAAACAAAAAAAAAAAAGGTTGCAAAGAAATTAGCAAAACTTTAAACTTTTAGTATTAAAGTAAAATGTATCGGTTAAACGCCCCTATCACACAAGACTAAGACAACACATATGTGTGGCAGCGCTGTGAAATCAGGCGCTCGTCAAATTAATCAAAGTAAAGTAACTGACTTTTTTCCGCAGGTTTGTGAATTTTTATCTAATTTAATTTTTTGGCTTAACACCTTTCATGCCAATTAACTCTCTGAACCCCATCAGACGCTGGGAGTGTCCAGTACTAGTGAAAACTGTTTTGTTTGATTTAGTGCTAGTTTTTGCTTGTTTTTCGGAAATATTCCCAAACCAAGTTTTTTTAGTAATGACTAAGCCTTTGTTTCCGCTATTTAGAAGTTGGAGGCAAGCTTTTGGGGTTATAATGAGACATAGTGCACCAGGTTTAGGTGACAGTAGAAAAAAACTCAGGGGAACAATGGAAAAAACTCAGGGCTTAAAGAGTTAAAGAACACATTTCTGTGTGGACTTTAATGAAAAATGTTAGTTAATGAAAAAAAAAAGAAGTAAATTTACAGTTTCAACAGACTGTCATGCTAAGGAAATAACTAATCTTTGGTGGCCGTTTTCTCACTAACTTTACCTCTGAAACCAGGCGACCCCCACCTCCATGATTCGCAAATATCTCGACTTGTATTCAAGACAAAAGGATATTTTTTCAATCCAAAGCAAGACAAATGAACAAGCTTTAAAATGATACCATAACTCCATATGCCCAAAAATTGTCGAGCGCTTGATTCCACCCTGTAATGACACATATAGATTTTTTTAAAGTGTCACAATCAACAAAATGCCAGTGTGGAGAGGTGGGCCAAACTATGGAACACATCTTCCAGCAGTGCAGGATGCACAGGGCCCTGAGAGAGCATGCACGCATGCACACACACACACACACACACCCACACATACACACACTCACTCCAGCAGTGCAGGATGCACAGGGCCCTGAGAGAGCATGCACGCACGCACACGCAGACACACACACACACCCACACATACACTCACTCACTCCAGCAGTGCAGGATGCACAGGGCCCTGAGAGAGCATGCACGCACACGCACACACACACGCACATACACACACTCACTCCACACTCCCTGAAACGTGGCCAACCCCATTGACAGTACAAAAGAAGCTGTACAGGCTGACAGAAGAGCTGAGCAGAGAGAAGAACTGAGCAGGATGGCCCAGTAAATATAATAGACACCGGACTACAATCGAGAAGATGAAGAATACCCTAATCAACACTAGCAGGTTATTTAAAAGAGGCGGAACCTCCAAATTTAATGTCCGTCTCCAATAGGATTTAGTCAAATGGGCTTGATAGCCTTGAAAACTCAACAAAACGACCCGAGTTACCTGGATAATAATAATAACGGATTGTATTTATCGTTGGTAAGCTGCTCTACAATTCTAAACCCAGAAAGCAAAATTGTGAGAGCGCCTGAAGAAATGTGCCAGTTATCGGTAAAGCCTTTTTTTGAGCAGCGGGGTGAAAAGGCCACAAATGTCGTACCAGATCCAAAATTTAGTTCCATCAGAAAACACATGTGTAAAAAATAATAATAATAATAATAATAAATTACACTTTTATTTGTCCCAGAAGGGCACTTTGTTTTACAATGGCAAACATACATACATAGATACATAATTATAAATGCGTACATACGTAAATACATACATGCATAAATACACACATAAATACACACTATTACACAAATACAGAACAGTTTACTAACAATGCCACTGTCGGTCGCCACTGTGCAGCGCCCTGTAACCATTTCTCAATAACACTTGGAATATTTTAAAGTCTAAATATTCTTTATTTGTTATTTTTGCAACATACTGTATTTCCCCAAAGGTTAAAAATGAGCTAGAAATCGTGTTTTTCCTCCAAACTTTGTTTTTACTCCCTGTGTTACAAAATGTGGCAGTGGTCTCGCTGTCAAGGTTCAGACAGATCTTTCTCTCTCTCTCTCTTTCACTCTCTCTCTCTCTCTCTCTCTTTCTCTCTCTCTCTCTCTC